GTAAGTACTCGAGTAGAGTTGATTTTAAAACGTATGATTACTTATTTTATATTTGGACTATTTGAAGTAAAAGTAATAAAAACTAATAGAGATGCGGTCTAAAATAAATTTAACAATCAATTTCGTTATTAATAAAAACAATATCGTATCAGAAGAATGAAGGTATAATAACTAGTAAATAAAAATATAACTGTGCTTTTAAATTAATTACCTACTTTATTTCATGACTTTTATAGCAAGCCAATGTAAAATAGAATGAGGAATAAGATTATGAAACAAGAATAATTCTTGAAGACTGTGGGGTTTGTTTTCCAGTGGCTGCTTTTTATAATTTAATAGCCATTACGAAAGAAATTAAAACAATCCGTTGTCTGAAAAATGTATAAGACAAAACCGTTTTCGTCGCTTCCAATAATTATAATGCTTAATGTTCCAACAGATAACCATTGAACATTATGTAATTAAAATATTGTTCTGCATAAAAACAAATTAAATCCCACAAGTACTTAAATTTAAGAATATACGAAATAATAATGTACACTAACACTGGCCGAAAAGCATTCAATTATTTTTTTGGTTTCTTGGCGTTTATAAAATGTAATACGAATCAACGTTAAAAAACTTTGATTTTTTGTAAATACCAATAATTATATTTTTTCCCCTTAGATTGATACGTGCTCTGATATCCTATAATAAATATAATTCATATAGATTTTGCGATGTAGACTTCAACATTCAAATATTTAATTAAAGGAAGGTATTAATCAAATCTGAGTTGAAAATTCGTTAGGCATAAAAATACCAAATAATATTAAAGAAAGAAACCAGCACACTTTGTGTATTGGAAAATAATCTAACACCATTCGCGTATTATGTATGCACATTTTATAAAAACATTGTATCGTAGGCCTATAATCGATTGCAACGATAGAATAGCATTCATAGAAAATTAGCTCAACGACTGTGGTTGACAAGCTCGAGCGTGGATAGAGCCTTATTCGGACGCCATAAACTTATAGAATCATCACACGTGTACATGAATCGGAGGACGCATGAACCTTGGGAACACGACGATGCGGATCACTTAACCAGACGGGATATAACCAAGAATAATGGGTAAAGGACTTATATAAGAGAACCCAAGATAGGACTTTTTCAGGTGCGAGTTACACAAATTAAAGCGAACACTTTCACGCCGATCTATGTTAGGGTATGGTCATTTGGACTTAGAAACATTTTCAATTTAAAATTACTTATTTCATCGCAATTACTACACAGCTCCATACACGGTTGCTCATAGATGGTCTGATACAAGATATATAATGAAGGATATTAATTAGGTAGATCACGGAAGCAACAGATGTAAGTGATATGATTGATCGAATTATCACAGGGACTATTATTTGACGTTTTAAATTCTAAAAATGTTATTATTGGCCATCGCATTCTAAATAAAGTAGTAGGTAACTCGAAAATAGAGATGATTTTATAGCTAAGAAGATGCCACACCACCCGCATGATTTATCCACGAAAATGGTTTTGTGCTTGACAAATTTTCGGATACAGTACTTACAATAGTCTTAGCCAATTTCTATCACACATGTTGAAGATATTTATGTACGTGACATTTTTTAAATTTTTTAATAACTTAAAAAATATCTAAATTGTTCATTTACACACAAATTCATAATTCTTTTTTTTTTTTTATAAAAAATAATCGAGTAATTATATCGAAAAACGATACGAAACAAATAAAGTTATCTTATATGTAGTGCAAAAATTTATTAAATTCATTGTAAAATATAATGTACTCATAAGGTTATCCTAAGCGAAACCGTTTTTTATATAATCACTTTATTTTGCGACAACCACTGTTGGTAACTGACATGAGATTATTTATAAAATACTTTGAATTAGTATTTATATATAATATTTAAGATTAAATATTTTAATTTTCATTAAAATGTTATTTAAATTTTCAATATTAAATCCCTTAAATAGTGGATTTGTGGCGTTCTCTAAGACATCAACATCGTAAGCAACCAAAGACAACGCTGACAATTCGTTTCCATCTATTTCCATTATTTTATACTGATTCGTTTCAGACTTAAATATGATTTTGTTAGCCCGTTAACGTCCTCATTATTGCCAGTTTTAAATACACCTTTGCCAAAGATTTAATCTTTAACTATACATTACAATCATTAAATACTTTAAATCTACATTGCAAACTGTTTATATTATTATTATGGTTTTCAATTTTTTTTTATTAATTAATTTAGAATATGTCTATCATTGTCTCTAATTATTATGCTATGTAATATTGAAATTATCCAAGTACATGTCTTATTTTTTGATAATAACAATTTTAATAAAAATAATAATATTAATGTTTTCTATACTAAGTTTGACTAAGTCTACTAGAAATAAAAAATTAATTGTACCCATTTTAATTGTTATAAAATAAGTATTTAAAATACATAAAATAAAAATGTATTTAAATTATAAAACGCATGGAACTCGATAACGTATATTTTATTAATATTTCAGTGTTTTAGTTAGAGTAGTTATACATTTTTATACAATTTGATGTATCATTTTAATAAGTAGTTATTTCAATTAAATTACAATTTTATTATTTTAAAAACTATTTTTGTGAATAATACCAATCAAATAATAGTTTGTAATCATTAGGATTTAGGGGTAGGATTTCTATGCATTTGCATTTTCAGTCTTGATTGTTAGACATGCCACATGTCCTTTGGAATATTCTCGATTAAATATAATAATAATTACCGAGCAACACGATTATCCTATTGTTTTTTCGTATTTTTAGCTTTTGTAAGCATCCAACACAACTATATGTGAATTAGTTAAAATGAATATTTATCATTTAATAAGTTAAATTTTCATATTAATAATCTCACACTTCAACAATGAGTGGTACTTCCAATAATTCTATAAGTCTTATAATTTATAAACATACTTATTACTTATTAGTTTATCAAAAATAACTAATAATAAACCCAACGTTACAACTTCCAATCTCGTTTTTACCTCTATCACACAAGATACCTTCAACCTTAAAATATTTAGATAACGTCTCTAATAATCTCGCAATTAAAACTATTGATACAAAAACTTTAATTATGATACTATCAACACGATCAACCACGTACAGAACGTTCCAAATACAAATAACTGTAACAAAACATAATTATCGAAACCAATAAAAACACTTTCGGAAAAAAATCTTTCACTGGGACTGGCTGTAACACGATTACGTCCGGCTTACCTTTTTCCATTCAAAAAATAAAACACGATTGCGCTCCAATATAATATATAAATACGTATATGTTATATATATAACATATACATATATTCTAACAATTTTATTTTCCAATATACTATTTAAAAATCGGACTTGGTTATATTTAAATCATTTGCATATTTATTAGTTTTTTTTTTTTAATCAAATTTTTACATGATTTTAATGTATTGATACACGCAATTATTTATATATTTACAAATTTTTTAGTCTACTTTATAATACGCAGGGAAGTTTCAACGTTAACCTACCCAAAAAAGATTAAGCAATCTTCTTTGAATCAACTGATAAAATACCTTGAAACAAATATATCATAGCAATCAATAAATGAATTCCATAAAAAAATATCAAATACATTTCTCGAATGTCCAACAACCGTTTTTGTATATTTTTAAATTATAATAAACAAATCTTAATAATCAGTGTATAAAATAATGAACAAATAATAAATTCTTTAAAGCAATTAAACATATATATTTTTAAATAAACGGATGTTAAATTTTTAAATTTGCATAATGATAAAACATTTTTTTTTTTTTGGGGGGGGGGGGATCTTCTTTAAAATCAACTATGAATTACAAAAATGTATATACCTAACTTATAGTTTCTAAAATGTAAACTAGCTGATATTTATAATTTCAATAATTAAAATTAAACCTATTAAATAACATTACATATTTACACCACGGGTATTTTATTTTACATGTTTTTGAATATTTTAAACATAATCGTATATTTAGATTTTTCAAAAATTGTATGAATTTGAAATGGTATTTATTTAATAAAAATCTATAATTATTGGGTTTTTTGTCGAATTTTTGTAAATATATCATCTAATCTTATTTTAGTTTAAACGACCGATAGACGATAAGATTACCTAAAAGTTATTTTTATTTTTCAAAAGTACGATGTAAGTTTCCGTGTAGATACGATCCTACAATTATATTCAATAATTTGAGCAATTTTAACAGAGAGTTTCAGTCAATATAAAACCACTCTTCGTTTCAATCGCCGCTGTTATTCATATTTTAAATTTTGAAGAACGTATTACAGCCTATGTAGTCTTTAATATAATAATAAATAACAATTCTATATAAATAATAAACAATTACTAACTAATTTCTGATTTTTATGTAAAAATTATTTATTGTTATGTAGAAATAACAAAAGGATATATTTTTGGATATTTTTACGTATTTTGGCAAATAAAATGCATATTTTACAATTTTTCATTGCATGTAAATGCTTGCTCTAGTAACCATATCGATAGAAGATTATCAATTTATTTAAATTTAGTATAATATACAAAGATCATTTTTAACATAATTGAGTATTGTTAATACGCAAAATAATTTCCACGGTAAAAGGAATAATTTTTACGGTCAATTATAGTCATGTATTTTAACTCATCTCAGTAAATTAATATTTTTAAGCTCCAGCGAAATAATAAAAAGTAATTAAATAAACGCTCTTAAAGTCTTACCTTAGATGTATAGCACTATATAATATGTATACATAGTATAATAAATTAATACATAAAGCGACTAGCAAGCCGCAAGATACATAAATATTAGGTTATTGTGTTGAATTTTATTTACTATCCTAGTTTTATGCATTTGATTTTATAAGACCAAAAAAGAAAAACTAAAAGCATACCTACATATTATAGTATTCATTTCGCAATTTTCTTTTTACTCTGTTCAATACCTTTGTGGCTTTGTTTATTTAATTGTTTTGTTTTTTTGGGTGACTGGTAGTAATAATATTCTTTTGTAATGTTTTTCTCCGTGTTGCAATGTTTTACAAGTGTGTTAGAGTAAATGTTCTCAAAAAGTCCAGTTTCTGCATTTGAATTAAGTGGGAAATCCACCGTAACTAAAATACAATTAAAACAGAAATCTTAAAATGAGCATAATAAAAGAGTTAAACAAACAAGTGTTTTATTTTTTTAATGAACATTTAGTTTTTAAACCGTATAATTTAAAAATTATTTATTCAAATTGGCCAAAAAAAAAATGTTTATTATGTAAATGTATTATACAAATTGATTATATTGTTCGTTAATAGACGATTTCTTTATTGAACTGAACCTATGTATCACTTGTTCTTTATATTATACATAATATTTATAATAATTATGAATGTATAAAATACGTATTCCACGAATAATAATATACATAATATGTATTACTTAACTATTCCTTAGCTAAAATAATTTGGTTACCATAATAATACAATTTATAATAATTAACAAACCTTTGATAATATCTTTTAACAACGTCGTAGCAATTCTTGCAATGATACTTGTAGTTGGATTCAAGCCAGGATTACTATTAATTTCTATTAACCATGGTTCAAAATGTTCTGTTAATATAAAATCTGCTCCAAACAATTGAAAAGCAAACATTTTCCTGGCGTCCCGTTTAAAAGACTTAATGAGGATTGTCGATATTGTTTCACAGATTGTAGGATAAATTGATGTATGCCACTTGTCGCCTTTCTTAATTGATTTCAGATATTCTTTAAACTGTGTAAAATCCCACATACATTCCTCCGGTACATTGGATACTCTATATCTTCTATTGATTGATTGGACTCGAACATTGCTTAGATGAACTTCTTCACCTAAGTCTTGAACTGTAAATTTCTTGGAACAAAATCGTATATACCCTTCTCTGTACAAAATTTTCAATTATATACACTAATTATTATGTTATTAATTATTTCATAATTATTATAATAACAGTATAGTTGCTCTACAATGATACAATTCAGGTACCAAAATCTGCAAGAACCAACTATATAACTTCATTGCTTAATATATCCCATTTTATATTATTTAAATAGCTGGTAAACTGTTTAAATTTTGTTTTATCACATTGCATAGATACAAGTGAGTAGTGACCATCCTATTATGTATTGTATTTAAATAAATCTAACGTATATTAGTTTCTTGCAGGCATTTAGCCTACAATAAAGGCTTATAGGATGGTACATTGAGGATAAACCTCTTATTACCCAGATGTAAATATATACCCCAATGTTGAAAATAATATTGATAATTTACATTTTAATCAGCTAAAATAAATTTTACAATATTATGATAAAATTATTTATGAGCTATTATTATTATAAAAACGGTATATGTATTTTGTTGTTAATTTTAGTAACTTGATATCAACATAATGTGATGATGAAAACCCCCCGGGATTTATATTTAAAAAAAAAAATGTTTATTATTTTCAGTTTTTAATTTAATTACTCATGTCTATGAAATAAATAAAATTTACATAAAAAAAACATTTAAGTATTCTATAATATTAAAGGATAATATTAATTACTTATAAATATATTTTACTTGTACATCCATATTTGTATAGGATATGCGTTTGTAACCAAAAAATATTGTCTCAGATCTGCTTTGACATTAAAAATCAGCAATGGTCTTTCTAAAATATATTTAATAACTTTAATTAATAGAATAATAATTTTGAATTATATTAAAAATTTATGGAGTATCATAAATAAATGGTTTTCTTCACCTGTCTATGCATTAAGTGTATTAAATCTTAATTGGTTAATCATATTATATAATTATTATACTAAATCGATAAATACAGATTGTATTTCATATATTTTTGAAATAAAAAAAAAACAACTCTGTGCAAAGCAATGCAATCAGTTAGTTTTACAGTTGTGTGCTAATTTTTTTTTTTTTTGCGAATTTTAAACACATACCAGTTTAAAGAGAAAGTGACAGTAAGAAAACACTAACGACGCACATTTATAAATTCATAATTAAACTCCAATTGTTTCAAACCTATCCATTATCGAATACCCGAGTACCTATCAATAAAATAGAGATAAATAATAATAAACTGTAAAGATATATAATCTATAATACCAACTAACATTTACACATAATTTTTAGTAAGCCTGTAAGTTTTGATTAGAATAATTTTTAAAATGTATATAGTTTATATGCTTATAGCTTTTTTTTTCCTTTTAAATTCTTTACCAATATATTTTTGTACAATGTACGTTTTATTCAATTTGTTGGGTTCTTTAATTGTTTTCAAAATATTATTGAAACGTCTCTCCAATGTTATTCCTATACCGGAACAACGATTAGATGGTTTTATAATCCACAGATTTGTATCGCCGTCAATAAAAAATTGTGGACAAAATGTTTTAATTTTACGTTCCAAACCGTCAAATCGCTCATAAATATCCTTAAACACAATAATAACATTCAGTCATTGACTAAAAAAACTCAAGAAAAATTGTACGACTGTACCTATTATACTTACATTAATTTGAAACAAGTTACAAACACGAATGGTAGCAAGTTCTTCTATAATTTCATAATACCAAGCCATAAATTTGCTCCAGCAATCTTCTAATATTGTTGTAAACCATAGCATATCGCTTTCTTCTTTGGTTTGATAAGCGTGCACGAATTCCCAACAACGTTGTTCAATGAAGTCAATCATTTCGTATGGAATCTAATAGAATGTTTGTTACATTTAAAATTTATTTTTCTGTTTTTACTGAAATATAATATTATTGTTATTATTTCTCTCGATTTATATATACATTTACTAAGCGACAAGCAAAACCACCCTATTTTTTTCTTTTGGTTATAAATTTTTCGTACAATGTTTTTGGGTTATTTTTCTTAGCTATTTTGTGTGTGTCTGTTTGTATAGTCTATTTTTTCCTGGATTAAATGGCCTAATTTTTGTGTACGTTTTAATTTGTTTTACAAGTTTTTGTTTATTTTATACGACGTAATCGAATGAAACACTAAAGCAAACATGTTGCAACATCAAACTGAGAAAATATTACATATTTGTACTTAAACGTAGTTTTGTGTATAACACAAGTCTTCAGTTTTAGTTATTTAATAATATTTTAACTTGAAGAAATATTTTCTCAATTGGACAATTTGTGTTATAACATAATCGATTGTTAATAAAGTTATATTATAATTATGACTGTTATTAGTAAACAAAAAAATAAAAATAAATGTATATGTATATTTATTATAAAGGGTCATTTAAAGGACTTTTGAAACAATTTTCTGAAAAATATTATAATTTAAAAATAACAAAAAAAGGATTAAAAAAACCCTCATTTAAAATAACAATGTGCTAGAGAAATACGCATCATTGTGGAAACGTTTTTAATAAATAAATAAATGGAATGTAGAATATAAACTTTTTTCAATTCAAATACTAAAATCATTTAAATGTATTTTTACAAAATGGGATAGGTATACTTACCAATACTGCAATTATTATTCATGTTAAATTTATAAATATAGTATAATAATTAAATCTGTCTGAATAAAGCAATAATTATAAAGACTCCTAGCATGCACATCCATCCAACCACTTCTTCCAAAAATATCAAATCAAATAATAAAAGTATTAGATACCGATGAGTAGTTTTTTTATTTATTTTGTAAAACATTAAAATATGTGGGTTCTGTAGACATTTTGTATTGTAAACAAAACTTAAAATTATACATTAATGAATAAACGTAAAAATAAATAATTTAATTAAGTATATGATTTAATCGTATAAAGTAAGTGTTTAATTGTTTTTAAATATACTATACAATTTTTAAATTTAATATTTACAATATAATAACATACATATTATGTGAAGTCATAATGTGATATGACTTGATACATGATATGAAAAAGTAGATAGTTCGATCTGTCGTTGGCAAAACTTTAAAAATTGTCTAAGTTTAAATTATTACATTAATATCGTTAAAACGTATCTGATAAAAATAATAATTTCGTTTTCAGTATATTATATGTTTATTATTACAACCATGTTATAACTCTATGGAATTTATTGATTTGTTTCACTTTAAATTTGTGTTTCAGTTGCACTGAATACTTCAATAAATTATATAACAATATGAATAATGTATATAGATTGTGTTTGCTATGAGAGAACTGAATAGGTATTCTCTTTAGAGTTTATCATCTATAAGTTTACTTTCAGTTGATTTCCAGTTGACTACCGATTACATTAACAGTTCAGTAATAAATAACTCTTTGATTAGTTACAATATAATAACATTATTGTTATATTTGTTTTAATTTTTTCGTGTTTTAATTTCTTCTCTTGTTTAACAAGAATAATAAAAATATTTATTATATAATATTTATATATCTATAATGCATTTATTGTTTTTCCCTTGCAAATTCGTATTTATTTTATTCTTACAATTTCTCGTTTAAAATGATATTGTCTATTCATTCAAACGAAAAATAAATTCTTTTATAAAGTTTGATATAGACAATATGTGTATGATTTCCCCTTTCTTTTTCTTCGATAATGTTATTATTTTTCAAAATCTGATTTTTGAAATTTTTGAGTATACTCAAAGATCATATTTTCAAATTTTTATGATTTGTTGTATTATTTAAAAAGTATCCTATACACACTTATATTTTTAGATAAAAACCACTCAAATGGACCTAAAGTCCATAATCATTTATTTGGGATTTGTGGGAACTATATAATTTAAAAATTTTAATAGTTTATTTTACTCTATCAATATTTATAATTTATAAATGACGAGTATAATAAAGATAAGAGTCGATGTTTATATTTTATTAAATATGGGCTCTGTATTAAAACTATTGTACAGTTTTGTAAAACCATTTGCAAGGTCTATTATCCTTAATATTATAAACATTTCAATAAGTGAAAAACTATTCGTTCACATTTTGAATAAGGAACTCGCATACAATTTTCAAAGAAAATTATCCAATAAATAATTAACGATAAAAAGGGATAGTCTCGTTTAAAAATATAAGTTTGTATAACATTCAAATAATACAAAAAATTTCAAATTATTTGAAAACATAGTCCAAATTATATAAAAAAAAAATTAAAAAATCAAAATGTATCATTAAATTAAAAATGATGGTTAGCATGCTTGATGAATCAACCTGTTAATAATATATGGATGTGGAAGTGAACACACGAACAAGTCATCGTCATTGATAGTCATTAAAAATTAGTCGAGAGTGTTGAGATATATAAATAACTCGTATAGGTACCTAGGAAATAAATATAAGCCCTAAGTTTAGTAGAAATTATAATGCATATTATATTCTAACTTACAGTTCCGTTTTCACTAAACATTTTTCTTTGTGAATTTTTTGAACTAAGGATGTTCTTCAAGGAACCCAATAAAGCTGTTAGTCTATAATCTTTTATAAAAAAATCCATTGTCCTTGTGTCTGAAATATTATAGGTTCTTGGGAATTTTACATTTAATTTTTTTGATATCGTTTTAACTGTTCCAGCCAATCCAACCTGATGCATGTATCAATAAAAATGTATTAACTATGAGTATATACTGTTCTATTGTTATAGTAGTAATAATTCGTAAAATTACTTTAGTGCAAAAACTCAAATTATTTAATTGACTAAATATTGTTATGTTGTTAATTTTAATACAACTAATATCATATCGGTTTGTAGTAAATACGTAATTAGGGATAATGTCTTTAAGTATCAACCACAAATATGAGTTTTCTATATTTTCATTAATTAAAGATTCCACTGTTGTTGAAGTTAACGAAGGCGGTGATTTGACATTACACGTTGAACGACTGTCTAAGCGCATATACATAAATATTAATTAAACCATTTTTCTCATTAGAAAAACATGAAAACTTATCGACTAGAAATATTACTAGACTAATACGGATTAATTACGAGTTTAATATATTTATTATAAAGTCAACGTTATAGCCGTGATATTTATCATATTGAAATAGCAGGACTGTGATTCCGATGTCGGCTAGTTCCACTTTCTTTAGATAGCTTCATATGATTATACTTTAATAATGTATTTATGTTTTGTTTTATGTAGGTTTCTGTTAGATTGTTAAAAGGGTGCTGTCTGTTTTAGTTGAAAACCCATTTATATTTTAATTGAATAAGTAATAATAATTATGTCTAAGTATGATCCTGTTTGGGGTCAACTTATTTTTAATTTCATTAAAAAATGTATTTACTTCACGTAATTTATTTTAGCAATAAATCGATGTTTAAAGATGAAAAACTATTGTGTGGATTGTGCATAACTGCTCAACTGTTTTTTCAAAAAGTTGAAAAATTAAAACGGTATAATATTGAAACAATTTATATAATATGATACATAATATTTATATTTAAATATTATATTGTAACTCATTAAAAAAAAAAAAAAATATATTATTGTTTCTATTCATATTTTAGGAAAAAAAATTATGTTAATAAAAATATATTTTTTACTTGTTAAAGTTAATGTAGTAAATAAATATTCATAATTCAATGATTTGAAATCTGGGTTTTTTTTTTTCAACCCATCCTCTTTTTTTGAGCTCCTCTGCTATTATTGGATAATACCCATGTATTGAAAATATTCTCTTGGTCTATAATATTTAAATTTATTATTAAGTTATTAAACTTGACTGTATAAATCCATTTATGTGCATACTCTTTAATAATACAAAATTGAAACTAAAATTTAATTACTTGATAACATGAAAAAAATTTTTTTATCAATTAATAAATTTTAATATAATTTACACGTCATCATAATTTTAAATTTACATTTTAAAATATTTTTAAGTGATTTTTCTTTTTTAATTTTAAGCTCATATAAATTGATGCAAATATAGTACTTATGGGAAAATATTAAGTCAAATTAATTATATTTTTAAGATACAAACAATAAAATAATTAATATGTATGGGTATGTAGTTTACAAATAAATAGGTACAAAGTAGTAATACCTGTTAATTATGTAGTAATAACATTAATAAAAAATAATCCAAAATCAATGAAGTTCATATCAGTCATATTTGTATAAGTAATGATTGTTATACAGTACTAGGTACAGCCAGTGGCAACTAGGAAAGTTTACAATCGATTTACCACCCTTATAGTACCAACAAATACCTTGAAGCCAAGCTGATAAGAAAAGTTTGTTGGTCCACTTAAGAAATAATCTGTAACGTTTGTTGTAAATCGTAACAAATAGCGATTAAAGTTTTTGTGTATTTAATTTTAAACGATTTGACGAAGTCAAATAAATTAATGATGTATAATGAAACAAGTTTATATAAAATTGTATGATGTAAAAAAAGTTAATATTTTAATAATTTCTTGTATTAATATGATAAAGATATAACTAAGAACATGTATATTCTACGAATTTTTAGCTCTCTTCTCTATCAGTATAGTTTTTTTTTTTAATAATAAGTTAATTTAAAATTATTCTGTTAAAAATATTTTTAATATATTCTTATTTTTATACTATATGAAGGTAATGATTCATTCAATTGCAATAAGTTTATTTTGGCTTAATTACTAAGTCAAGCAACATATTTTTGTATTTAAAATCATAGTATGTACAATATGTACATAATATGGTGATTATTTTTAAAAACAATTAATTTTAACTACACTTACAGATACATGTATGACGTATAAGTATAATTTTAACTTGGCGTATTATTTTTGAAATTAATTAGAAAAATATGGCACGAAATTCTATAGCTGTTTAAGTTATTGAATTAATTAAAAAATTAATTAATTAAGTTTAAAATTGAATAAAAAAATTATCTTTTCAACTAGTTAAATTCCGTTTTCTAACTATTAAAAAACATCTACTAATAATTATAACTTTATGAAATGGCATCGATGTATCGGCAATATAATTAAAATGTACCAACCACACGTGTTAGCTGAATGTTCATTTGTTTGTAACGGATCGTGTGTGATAAACTATATAAAGTTAAAAGAATTAAATTGGAAATAGATAAATCTAAGCACCACTATAGTGCACAAAGAACGATAAGATACATCCGAATAACTCCTACAATAACTAATGAACCAAATCATGTGTTTTACTTTTGCAAATTGCAATTGATCACTTCTCCAACCAACTTACGTGATTCTACTACTTATACATTTCAAAATGCTTTCTTCGTTGAACACGTGTTTATAGATTCGACACACATATATAAGAATGAAAAGCAATTAAATTATAAAACATAGATAACTTTTTTGTTACCATTTTTTTTAAAATTCTATCATTGTAAGGCGTTTTAAAAATTATTGTTTGAATTATATCAAATAATGATTTACAGTATATTTTATACATATTTTAAATACATTTGCTAAAATTAGATACTTCGTGATTAATTATCTATACTTAAATATAAATCCATTAAATTAAAATTGAATTTTATTTTGTACAATAACACTAAAATATTAAAGCTAAAAAAAGGAGGAAACAGATAAGTATTTAGTTTACATTGTAGGTGTCTACTGTTTAGTGTACTTCGTTATCTATTAGTTCATAAAAATGTATTCAAGGAAATAAAATAATCATAAAATGTCTTTAATCGGAAATAAAAAAGTTAAAATATTTTGAAGATTAGAAAATGCTAATGTAAAAATTTAGTGAACATTTTAAGTATCAACAATTATTCGTTTTTAAATTATACAAAAAAATGTTTTATCAAAAATTAGTATTACGTGGAAATTCTTGTCTACTATAATTTTTATTTTTTTTATTAATTTGAGAATTATAGGGAATATTCAACTTAACTTTAATCTTCTAAAAGTGCCGACTAAATCTAAACTCAAAGTTAAAAAATCGAATTATATTCTCTACTATAAAACGCGTATACATAAACATATATAAAAAAAATTACATCATTGTAAAATCAATACATTCATAGCGTTGCTCAGAATCTAAAATTGATATTAAGTAGCCATGTAGAGTGTAGAAGGTAGGTACGTTATATTTAAGTGTGTGTGATGAAATTAATTGTAAATGTTTTATTTATAAGGCCCATACTAATGTCTAATAACGAGATTTCTATTTCCTAATTACCTGAAACACTCCAAAGACTAAAATGGAATTCAAAATGTTTACATGTACCTATTGAAAATACAATAAATAATGTGAGACGGCTTGTATTGATTATTTTAAAATTTATGATTTGTAATGAATTCAACATTTTTCACAATTTTTATATTATTTCATGTTTCAACGATAAAATTAAAGACATAGTATCATAATAGTTATTTTACTTTCTAAACATAATAACACGCTCAAGACAACTATATATGTATTTTAGAATAATTATATTATTGTCGTATATATTTACAATATATATATATATATATGTGTTTAAAATTAAAAACAACAACAATTTTTTTTGTTAAAATAATACCCACATTTTGTAAAGAATTTACATGGAATATATAAAATCCTCATTGTATTACATACCAAATGTATTATGTTGATTGTGGCATAACTTAAAAGCACAATGAAATGGTGTACCTTTTATATAATTAGGAGCAGGTATGTTATAAACATATATAATATCTATTAGCTGACCCCATACACTTCGTTGCCCGTTAAAAATGCGAACTTTATGTTATAATATGATCCAAACTTTGTTTTATTTGTTATTATTAATATTCGGTGTAATATAATAGTGTTTAAAACTTAAACATTTTTCTTAACCATCTTGAACCTCAAAATTTTTTTGTAAGTGCATCACTTTAAAATGTAAATTTTGTAAAATGCTTTCTTATATTGTACACTAACTTGGTAGAACAAAAGTACTATGAAAACTGCAAGCCTCGAGCTACGATTTTTCAGGCTCTACGTTCATCATCAGTCAGTGTGTCAGTTAGAACACATTCGATTATATAATTTATATTATATTATTAAAGCCATTCCGCTCGGTGTTGCTCGCAAGACTCGCTAATGGTTATGCGAGCAGTATATTAGGCAATTCATCTGTGGTTGATTGCGAACTCCACGAGGTGTGTACGTAAGTTTATGATTTCTAACTCAAAGATGTATCAAGTTTTTTTAGTTGATATTAAAACCTTTACCGGGGGAAAAAAAAATCAATTAACACAAAATATGGCGACATTCATACAACTTCCCAAAGTTTCAACGTCTGTGTTATTTTTCCGTGGTGCGCCGTATGATATTGAAAAATAAACATTTATAAATAAATAATTACTCAATTAACTTAAAAAATTGGAATTAAGCCTAAAACCTGGTCCACGGTGTACTCTTTCATTAAAAAAAAAAAAATCATCATCATCAGATGAGTAACAAGATTTACATTTTCAAAATTAAACATATATATACACAATGGTATATGTATTTTATCGTTTAAAATTCTAGGCATACATATATATTGGTGTACATTCGATGTGCGAGGTTATTTTTATCGATAAATTTTTCTGAACATCTAATATTTACACGCAGTTATCAAACATAAATTTATGGACAAAAGATCAGATTTCAAGTAGCTGAAATCCCCCTAGCCACCGCGTCGCATATAGGTATACAATTTACAAGTTTATTTTAATTAATAACAACTAATTACTTACTGCCTATGTCGGACTAACTAAATGTATTCCTATGACATTTGTGTGATCACATAAAAAAAAATCCAATCAAAATTAAACCGATAGTTAACGAGTTTACACAAAAACGTACTTACAGCTTTATATATTAGTATAGATAGTAAGTTATCATATTATTTTTTATTTGTAGTATGCATTATGATGCTGTATAATATACAGCGTGATTCTTTACTAGCAGTAATGAATTCGAATTATGCAAAAGAAGTACTTTCAATAACGTTAATATTTTCAAAACAGTGAGTGTTTACCTTTAAAAAAATAATCCTGTATAGCTTTTGTGAACTTTTAGAGCTTTCTTCATCTCTAATCATTTATATAAGTCAAATAAATAATAAATTACAAAATAAAATAAAATTCAAATCATCCAAAAATATAAAAATCGATAAATTAAAGTACTGATGTGAACCCAAGTGTTAAGCATGATGAGAATGATTTTTTGATATTTATAGTTTATTCTTGAATAAAAATTTAAATAATTATTTCTAAATCGTTTAACAAATAGCTACTAATTGTTACATCACATTAAAATTTAACTTATCTATTTAATACATTTTTTTATGAGGTTATTAAAATCGAAATATAAAATATTAAAATACATATTTAAACTTTTTTGTCCAAAACTCTTTAGTTCTTTTTGTTTTACAAAATTAAATATAGTTAACTATTGAAATAATTTTCATTGAATCTTTACAATATACGTCAATATTAATTTCCTTGGATTATTAGATTAATATTAAAAATCATTGCTATGAGATATTAAAACGCTGTATATTATCTTATATTCTATTTTTTAAAACTATGAATATTAGTTGTTTGGCCTATTTATATAAAATAAATTTTCGATTTTATCAAGAAATATAAATATTAATACATTAGACTGTTAGAACATTTATACAAAAAAAAAAAAAATTCAAAACTATATTCCTAAAGATTTCATACTTTATTATGTCATGTATTTATGCATGTACTGATAACCCACAGGATTTTTTGCATAATATTCCATACGATTACATAAATACTATCATTAATAAATTGTCTATATTTAGATTTAAAATATATTATAAGAATATCTATTGCGAAGTGTTTATTAAAAAAAAAAAAAAAATGATGAAATGGTAAAAATTAGTCAATATGACAGTATCAAAATTATTACCCCGAGAAAATATTAAAGGGAGGGGGAAACCTTACTTGCGGTATATTCTATACACCTTTATTTAACGGCGGTCGATCGCATATCATATATCAGAATGGGGGTTTCCGTTTTCTACAAAAATAATGCTTGTCTATTATCACCGTGTCCGTTTCCCGCCAAGGTTGTAGTCCAATTTTCGCCAAAAACAATAAAGATATTATTTGATATCTTTTTTGAAAATCCTTTATATCTCTTATAATTATTATTATTTCATCATAAACCAAATTTTTTTAATATTCAATATAGGTATACCTGCTGTTTATATTATTATTTTAGAATTTAAAGAATATTTTTAAAACTTTGATTATTTCCAATTTTACACAACAATAACACATAATATGTTATATTAATACTTATATACGATTATGTATCAAAATATAAATCCAGCTAATAATGTATACGTTGATAAATACATTGGTAAAATTTGATTACTCGATATGATTATGTGAATAGGTATACGCGGGAAGGTGAAGATATGAGGTTCATCTCGATATTATGGGTTTAGGTTTAATTGTTTCCAAAAAACATCTAAAATAATACGAGTATATATTTATATATATTTTGTGGAAACGGAAACGGTGATAACTGCCAAAGTGCCAAGGGACACTATTATGCCCATTGGAATACTCGCTTACCGACATATACGTATAATATTATATAATATATTTCTAGAGAATGTAACAATTTTCGCCGAAATTTTATTTAAACACGTCGCATAATATGCATTCCAGTTGCACTCTACTCACATTCAGCTGTATACTCGTAGTAAGTAATATATTGCCGTATTATACTCTGTTCGAGTTAAGAATCTTAATTGGTAGCGATCAATTTATCGCCGAGCGGTGGTCAGACAACACTCGTTTGTCTATTCCAACCAGGTCGACCATTCATAAGCATATTATCGAGTATAACGAAGCCAAGCTCCGGCGCAATAATTGTACGTTTCTTAGCTTGAACAGAGTATAGATTAGGTACCTGTATCGCGTCCGTCGCCCGTTTCACCAACGCCGCAACCGCGTCCTCTTCAAGTCCTGGCACTGCAGAAGTCGTAAACTGTACTACGGCATCACGACAACTGTAGTTCAAATGCGATTGGCATTCTTTCATCAGACTCTCGCGCAATAACATCATGTAATTTTCAACAGTCCACGTAGGTTCGAATACGTTGAGTCGCGTATCGTTCAACTTGTCGTCGCTGGTTGCCGACTTACCAGCGGCATTTGCAGAGGCGGCGGAGACGGCTGCAGCCCCCGGCAGCCTGCGAGAATTTTTGTCGTTGGTCATTAGTGGTAATGATTTCTCCACGCGTTTAAAGGCCGCAACTCTTAACCTCTTGTCCACAATTTTGCCGGTGATCCCTGCAGTGGTCACGGTTGTTTTGGTCGACCTCGAGGCGCTCTTGGTTTTGAACCCACCATTTCTGTTGTCAGATTTCATCATGATAATATTATCGCGGATTATATGATTTTGTGTATGTATGTAAGCCTGTGTAATGGTGTGTGTAAGGTGTGTGAGTGAGGTACTTGGTGAGTTTATGAGCAATTGTTTTTTTTTTTTTTTTTCATAAATGTATTATATTGTTTCAGATTAAAAAAAACTATATTTATTATGATTTATGTTACTCTGACGATAGATTTCTGTTGAATGAGTATATAATAAAATACGTATTATACGTATATGAATTTAAATAGGTATATTTATCGTATAAGTGTGTAAAACGCTTGACTAATATACAAAATTTATATTAAATAATAAAGGCTGAACCAGGGTAATTAATATTGTGATGGCTGCATAATCATTTCTTATCCAAAACTTTTTTAGCATAGGTACTAAAACAAAATTTAATACTTATTATTAAAAATTAATAGATTATAATTAAAAGTTAAATTTAAATTTTACCATGTATAATTAGCAATACTAGTGTTTAAATTTAGATGTTTTTCATTTAAGTTTTGAACTCTATCATAGTAGGAAAAAGTATCTTATAAGTAATAAGATACCGTATACATAATATAGTTTAAAAGCAATTAGGTTGATTTTGGTACCTTTTAAATTATCTTGAAATTAACACGTGCAGAGATGAATACATAAAAAAAAAAATAACTTGTTAAGTTAAAAGTTACTCAAAATAAATAATAATTCGTTATGTACTTAATTGAAATTTAATCAACCTCTTAATTCAATTGTAAATTCGTTAATGCTTTTCCTTGAATTTATTATACTATAGTATGGAGATAGCTATACATAAGCTATTGCTTATTATATATTTCAGATCAATTATCTTATTTGAAGTTGATGTGTATTTAGTAAATAAAATGTTTATTTTGTTGACGTTCTGTTAAATATTTTTAAATTTCCAATACATTATAGTTACGTTTAATATTTTAATATTTATACTAACTAAATCAAAACTTCATAATTTTTCACTTAAATCATAAAACATAAATATTAACATAGTATTAATAAAATAACATTTTTATCGTTCAAAAGTATACAAGAGTATTCTACATTAAAAAAAAAAATAAACAAGACAAAAAAAAAAGTGAGAAAAAAAATATAAGATGAAAATTATAATTTATAAAAGTCATTTCAATCGTAAATATATTGAATACTTCTAAAAGTTATCTAAGATAAAATAATTCATAAAATTTCCATACTTACTTTTTATAAAAAATCCAAAAAAATATGAAATACGTTTGATACTTTTTGTTTTATGAATTTTATAAACTATAAAAAATTCGCTAAGTTTAATTCAACAGTTAAAATTACTTAAATTTTCTTACTTAAAAAGTATTTTAATAAAATATGAATAAAATCAAAAGGTATAATATCTAATAAAAAAAGTAAATCTCTTTAGACTATTTCTTAATGAACTTAATAATAACTAATACAATTTGTCAAGGTTATAGCTTATAACTAGGGCTCGGAAGTTATAGGAGTTAAAAAAGGCAAAATATGCATGCAAATATGCACAAAAAAATTGTAAAATATGCATGAAAATATGTTAAATATGCAAAATAAAATTTATTAAATATGCAAAAAAATGTACTACGTATATACAAAAAAAAAATATTTTTTATGTTTTGGCTTGTATTTTGTGTTTGGTGGATTGTAATTTTTTCAATCTAAAAAAATACATAGAATAAAAGTTATTTGAAAAATTATATTAATTTTTTTTTTAATTCATTAAACATATAGATTATTGTAACCGTCATACCCGTAAATGTATTGCATTGAATAACCAGAGCTTTTTTGATATTTTCTATCTCAAACGAACGACGGTTGTCTGTAAGTACATTTTTGTAGCGCGAAAAACTTCTTTCAATATCCGATGAAGTTATGGGTGCGTATTTAAAGTGTGCCAAGTCATTCCCATTTAAGTCTTCTGGTAGTCCTTCCATTGACGTTGCTTCACCAGTTAAAATGCTTGATATTTTTTTTAAATCATTAAAACCACAGTTTTTTTCCAAAACATTTTTTAATTTTTCTTTGATTGCAGTGCCTGCCTCGTCAATAATGTGCTCTAACTTATTTTCGACGGATTTCACTGTCGCTATTGACTCATGTAACGGGAGTTTTTGTTTTTCGAGTTGTGTTATTGTTGTCGGTAAAAAACCATAATTTACATGAATGAAAGTTAAGTTCATTTCCACAGAACGGTCACTTACAATGTCTTTAGCTTCTCTAATAGAAACCGCATCGCTTGAATCTAGAAGTTGTAAAACTTTGTTTATTTCTTTAAAATATTGACAGTAATATGAAGCTGCTTGTAGCCATGTCCCCCAACGTGTTAGTATGGGCTCCGGCGGAAGTGGAATTCCAGGAGCTTCAGTTTTAAATAATATAGTACGAGACGGTGCTTTCAAAAATACTTGTTTTACCCTCGATATTAATTTATCTACCTTTGGGAAATGACTACGTATTTCTTCTGCTATTCTATGCATTCCGTGAGCCAAACATGTGACGTGTATCATTTTTGAATATAATGCTTTAATAGCTGTACCAGCTTTTTTCATATACGGAGCCGCATCACTTACAAATAAAAGTACATCATCGTGCCGGATTCCATCTGGCCACAAAGTAAACATTGATGCATCAAATAGTTTAGCTATTGTTGAAAAATTAACTTTATCAAGAACTTCGGATGTCAATAAAAATATGTCACCAGGTTCATCTACCAATAATGTTCCCACTATTACGTTCGCAATAAATCTACCTTCGACGTCAGTACTTTCATCGATAGATACCCAAATTTTATTCCCAACAACATGTTTTCTAATTTTATCGATTGTTTCTTCGTAACATTCATTTAAATACGTTTTTCTTAAAGTAGATTCACATGGAATATCTTTAAGGGTATATTTTTCTAGGAATGACCGAAATTCAGTATTCATAATTTTATTAAGAGGAATATTAGCACACATCATTGACTTACATAAATCTTTTGAAAATTCACATTTTTTGGAGGTACTTGAAGAGAAAAACTGTTGTGTAGTTGATACTTTATTCATATTATTTCGTTGACGATTTAACAACCGCTCATGTTTATTCGTTTTTACATGTTGAGTAACTGTAAATCGTTTTTCGCAATTCACTTTAACTTCACAGATCTTACAAAATAGAATAGTACCGTCTGTTGAAAAAACATTTTCGCCGAATTCTAAAACGAATTTTCTAGTTTGTGAAATTTTCGGCATATTATAATTTTTTTAAATATTTAGGTAGATTTTACAGAGCACGGACGAATTTATTACACGAGACAGTTCACACACAACTGACGGGGTAAATATACTTGCCCAAATAATTCAGTCATACACCTATAAATACACTCATATATAGAACAAATCGCTATTAGATTAACGATAACGTCGATAGCAAAGACGTTAGTGCAATAAAGATAAATACGCTCCGCTGTAGGTACATCGCGTCGCGACTGTTAATTTAATCGAAAATAAAATAATAAAACCATAATTATTAAAAAAAAAACATCAATTTGTTTAGAAAATATTAAACGAGCATAAAAATCCAATGAAAATTGAGAAATATGCATAAAAAGCATATGAAAATTGAGAAATATGCACTTTTTTCTAAAACTGACAAAATATGCAAAAATATGCACTTTTAATTTTTTTATTTAAGCTTGTCATTGTATAAAACGGATTTCTAGCCTGGTCTGCTATAAATTAAGGGCATACAGAAAAATATGCAACTCCTACAACTTCCGAGCCCTACTTATAACTTATCTTTCAGTAAGTCAAATAGAATACATTTGTATCATAGAATTAATTGCTTCTTGCATACAATATTATTTATGAATACCTAAGGTGATCGGTTACACGGATTTTTCATTATAAAAAATTTCAATAATTATTTGTACTTCCAAATTCAAATTATCGAACGAAATAATATAAATATAAATAACAAAATTAAGCACAAGAAATACTTAATTATATAATAATTTTAAACATCGTCATTTTTACAAATAACCGTTGTCACCCAGTAATTTAATATATGGTCTACTAGGCGACAAAAAGTTTTCTCTAGGTGACATTTTTGTCACCCAATATATTAGTTAAAATATCCAATGATTTGTATATTTATATTTAAGACTTAATGTAAGGTATAGGTATAGTTCCAAAAAATTATTAATTAAATAAAAATCAATTACAATTTATTTAAATTCCTCAAATCGTAAAGATTGCAGTTTTTTAGTTTCTTCGGTTTACATTTTTACTACTTTATATCAGCTGATGGTTAAAATTCACAAAAATATCGCGTGACATATTTTTATTTTATTGAGAATTGTATTCAAATTACAAAATGTTAAAGTTTTATTAGTTTTCCTAAAAACATGAATAGTTCAATCAAATATTGACTTACTGCAATATTGATTTACATAAATTTATTATTTACCGTTTAAAATTAAAACAAAGTTATACATTTTAATTACAAGAACTAGCATTTTGATGAATGATTAAGCTTGTATATTAAAAATATTATAGTTAAAAAGCAAATATTATTTATACAATTCTCATTACATTCTAAAACAAATATCGAAAGCAAAGTTAATTTTGGTTCTCGCGTATAATCCATATATATTAGTATATTATATTTAATGGAAGCTACTCGTACGTAGTTTCACATATGCAATGTAATATTTATTATTAGTATAGACTAAACGTAAAATCAAAATAAATAACACTGTCGCTAGAACAATGCTGCAGCTTTTAAAATTGTTTTTTTTATCATGCAATGACAATAAATTGCTTACAAATTAATGTGATATACGTGGTTACCTTAGGGACTGGTACGTGTAAAGTAGATGTTTCGATTTACTTTGTTATAATTTCGGTTTTTCCTGTTACAATGGATCAAAATGACAAAATCTTGGACAAGCCTTTGGGTGTGGTTTTTTGTCTTGTATCTTTTTTTTACCTCTCGTTAAATTTGCTAATAAAAATCGAGTTACCATTTTTCCACCTCCCCAAAGGTTAAAGATAAAAATTGGTTGTTTTCTTTTACCTCGGTCTCGATTTATCTGGATTCTACACACGTAGTTTATAGTGTTGGTGAAATTGTGAAAATAACAAAACCCAACTGGTGTTTGGTTTCTACGTGTGAAATGCGCTACAATTAAATTACACGCGAAAAATCACGGGAAAACCCTATCGTCCTACCCCTGTTTTCAAAGGTCTGTGCAAATAGTGTTTCCGTGTAATTTGTGATTTTTAAAGTTGAACTAAAAAAGCAACGACGAGTAGAAATAAAATATTTACGTTAAAATACATTTATGTATCAAACGCGAAATGCATATTCAATTAAAGTAGAGGATTCCGTCTATTGGTATACTATTTATATACACACATACATATACACATTCTATCCTTTGATTTTGTTTAAAAATATAAAACACGTTAAAAGTATATTTTAGGCCGCATAATATAGTCGTCAACGATAAAATAATACACTGTATTCGATTTCGTTTGATGAATACTATTTGACTTAATGTACGCCTACTGTTTACAGTATATCCAGAATACAACTACCGATGTACCGCAAAGCAGCGTGTGGCAATGTGTATTGTAAAGTCGACTTCAAGCGTGAAAATATATATATATATAATAATTCCCACAGTGGGTGGTTAACTATAACCGTCATAATTGATAAAACATCAAAAATAACGCGAAAATAAACTGTTTATTTATTTTACATTCAGGAGGTGTATTCATAATTATTTATTTACACGGAGCTTCGACAATCATTTATACATAATCACTGTATAATATGTGTACAATCTCTGCAAAGCGTTGGGCTTCACGATAACAATAAATACAGAAATACGTGTTTAAAAAAAAATACCCATTTAAGACGAAGATAATAATGATAACATCTTTTGTATTATTATTTTTTTAGATCAACACAAAATATACAAATATAATAATACTTCAGACAATTTTAATATGATAATGACTCGCGTACGCATGTGTTTGATGCTGCAATGTTTATTATAGATATCTACAACGCATGTTTTGCAATTAAATGTTATATTTTTAATTTCTTAGATTTAAATAAATAAACCAGAAAATTATTTTGTTCAGTCATAACGTTTTAAATAATACCTTTGATATTATATGTATAATAATATGATGTAGTGTTCGTGTAAAATACACGTCTTGGGACATAATAATAAGTAAAATAAATATCCATCTTTATAAATGATAAATAACGATAATAATTGTGCTATACAAAGTATTATAATGTCTATCTTAGATGGCAATCATTAGATAGCCGTTTCTTCCTCGTTTATCATACGGCTATATGAGATAAAAACGTAATAGGCAGTTAAACATTTATTTTTTAAACACTGTTTCTCTTTTTTGCGCATTACACAACATTATTATAATACAATGTGTTCACCTCTTATTTACTAGCTAAAGTTTATTATGAATTAATTTGTTATATTTATTAATATTGTTATTATAGTTGTCTTATGACACGTCGATAATATTGATGTCGATTGTTGTTTCAGCGTCTTTCATCAATAACCTAAAATTGTTGAACGTCCGAATAGCCAACCATACGGTATTAGGCAGTAATACAATATTAGAATGTACATACGACCTAGAAGGAGAACATTTATACTCGGTTAAATGGTACAAGAACGGCGATGAATTCTTCAGATATTTACCCAAAAGCAAACCAAAAATACAAGTTTTTGAAAAACCGGGCATTTATATTGATGTAAGTAATCGAATTATAATACAATATTATTGTATATTATTATTATGTATTATTATTAGTAAGATTTAACTGTCGTGTACGTATTAGCATTTAGCAGTACGAAGCGTTGACGTACCGGCAGTTGTCTACAACAATCAGTTGTTATGACCCTAAGCTAATAAGAGAATTCGTTGACGTGCGGTAGTGTGTCACTTTGTGTTATAACTTACTTCGTTAATAAAAGAGTATATATGATTTTATTCATTATGCAATATTATACTGTTATTTTAACGTCTTTTTAATGAAAAATATATAACATAATTACTGTAATATGACATTTTAAAATAATATGTAATAATAAATAATAACATAAATCTATTATATTAGGAATGAAAATATAAATTGAAAAATTGAAAACTTAAACTACTTATTATTTAACTTTCAAATATTTTTGTAAGAATTAATTTATTTTAAATTTTATTTTTTACTAGATACATATTATTTTTATTAAATATTTCTTCAATAAAAAATCAAATATCTAAGGAATTTAAAAAAAAAAATTCTTGATATAATATTATATTATTATACTTGATATATTAACAGTGATTATTTTAATCCACAATTTTCATAGATACTCTTTAATAAAAATCAAAATAGGAAACAGTATTTTTAGAAATATTCTAGATATGTATATAAATATTGAAATGATATTTTATGTAAACATTTAAAATACCAAAATATAATTTTAACAATACATTAATTAAATATATTTTATACAATTTATAATATTGATTGGTATGAATTATATATTATCGTAATAAAATTAATTTACATAATCTAATAATATTATCAACAATATTTTTATGTAAAACTATAGATTTCATATATATTCAACAGAAGCAAACATTTATTATTCTTCACTATGAATTTTGGGTGACTCCGGATCAAATTCCGAAATATATTACATGGTGGAAATACGAATATATTGCTCTCATTTTCTAAGGAATGGAACACGTGTGTTTTGAGGGAAGGGGAGTAATGGTTTGCGTATATGCAGTAAAACGACAAATTACTTAGGGTTGGCGTTCGAGTAATGAAATATTCAACACAGAAATATTTTTATATCACCTAACGTTTAGGATCCAAAGTAAATATAAATGTCATGTCATTATTGGGTGTATGGCTCAGAAATGACTCAAACAAA